TCGGTTTGCATGTTCGCAGCTTTTGCTGTGTGCTGTCCGGGTTACCCTTCGAAGAACTCGTTACACAACGTCAGACTCCTCAGCGGTTCCGGATCTGTCAGACCGCAACTTCGGAGCCTTGAGCGCAGCGGTATGCCTGCACCGCGCATGCACAATATGTGATATCCACATAACGAGACACGGCTTCTGTCGATATTCGAGACAGTGCAGGGTCCCGGTGGGGCTGTCGCGATGGCGAAATCTGCTCAAGCATGAGCGACGTCGCGATGCCTCGCATCGACTAGTCAAGGCAATCACAACACCTCGCTTGCCGACAGCGACAGTGCTCTGAACACCTGCAGCTGGAGTTTCGTCCGGGTCGTCGCAGCGGTCAGCGAGCCGTGCGAGGACGCCGACATGGTACCTTGATGCCCAACGGACGATCAAGGCCGGCCTCAAGACGGACCGCAAATTGTGAGATACAGCCGAGATGCCAATATACGGCTTACACGCCGGGACCGCTTCGCACATCATAAGCAAGTCATCCAAAGCCAAAGCTAAATCGTTCTGACTGTGGTGATGCCCAACGCAAGCGACGAAATGTGGAACTGAGCACATTGCGAAACTGCAGTCCTGGATCCTCGTGGGTTCTTGTGGAAGCGAGAATGTGTGGCGGAGTCAGACAGATGTCGTGCAGTAGAGAGGCCGGTGACCCACTGTTAGAAAGCTTGACTAGACGCGAGATGTACTGAATTGTAAACTCGTTTCGAAGTCGTTGCGAGTTTCGAGATGGCTACTGTTGATGCGACAAGAAGTGTGGTAGGCAGATTCGATGAGAGGATTAGTGATCGAGTTCTTAAACCCAGAAAGGCAGCAGCCCAAGTGAAGAGGCCTTGGTAATGTGGCGTAGACTTATCCACTAGACTTCTGTTTGGCGCAAGAGGAAAGAGCACGTAAAGAGAAGAAGAGGTTTTGGGGAATGCGCATATAATGAGGTAGCTGCTTCTAGAGTTGGTAGTTCCTTCCTCCAGTCTGTTGACCACTTCGTCATCTCACCAATCGTCACTTCTTAAAGTCATCAACGGTCGACCACTGCAAGTCTTCTCTCAGTCCTATCACCACTTCAGACTCACTCTCAAACCAAGTTGTCGAACTCGCAATAGCTTCATAGCAATCATATACCCGTGCTGGTCGCGTTCCCATATCTCAATCTCTATTTCCGAACCTCAGCTTTGGCAAGAGCAATGCGCACCCAACACATGGCAGTGTGGGGAAGCAGGAACGCCATGTCGTTCTGTGCGACTGTGACTCCCACGAGCTTCGACTGCCTATCGGCATGCTCGCAAGCACGGAGCGCGAACGCCATACTATGAGTATCGTACTACCATCAACCTACGCGAAGAACTCTGAATCTTTCGCCAACGTCTGTCACCTACACCACCAATATCATTTCTTCCTCTATCATGGCTCTGTAAATATACGCATCGCGCAAAGGGGAGACACAGCAGTCTATCGCTATCACAAAAGGCATGAAGACGAGAAAGAACAACCATGTACCGCTACACTTCCGCACCTCCCTCCCACCACTCACACACCTACCTGCATCCTCCCCTCTACCCTCACAGACTCACCTCGAGATCCTACGACACAACTTACATGTCCAGACCCTACCCGTACACAGAACCACGTCGCTACAATTCCTACTACGAAACTACGTACGCACGACCCGGCACATCTCACAGACCAAGCACTTCATACCGACCCTCTCAAACAGAATATTGGAGATACGTCAAACCAGTTCAAACACAGCAGCCAGAAAGACCACCGCGCAAGAGCAATCTCAAGAAGACGGAGGGCAGACACGTTCATTTCGATCTTCCGCCTGCTCAGGGGACGTCGAGCAGGACGGTCAGGATTGCAGAGGAGGAGAGGCAGAGGGAACGGGAACGTGTTAGGGCGAGGGAGAAGGAGAGGGAGAAAGATCGAGAGAGGGATAGAGAGAGTAGAAGAGAGAGTAGAAGAGAGAGCAGATACATACCACCACCACCCCGACCCCCCATACGGCACGACGACACTAGCGATAAGATGCCTAAGAAGCAGTACGCCACCTACTCCCACTCCTTCGAATACGACTCCCAACTCCACCACCGAGAACGATATCGTTCTTCCACTCCGCCTCAACGGACCACTTTACCTCGCTCTACTTCATACCACACCCACCAATCCTCCCACCCTCCCCTCCACCAACCCACCTACCACACACCCATCCCCGCAACCCCAACCGTCTACATAATAACCTTCGCCACGGACCTCACACCTTCAGAATCCACGCGCGCCTCCCTCCTCTCCTCCCAACTCCCCATCCGCACCCCACCAATCCCACACCTTTACACCATCGACGCGCGCACCGTCCGTCCACCCTCACCCTCTCTATGCCGGGAGTACTCAGGCGTGAGTCCACGGATCCAAGACATTGTCATGGAAGACAGTGAGGCGAGGTATGCGGCGCGGAAAGCCGTGGAGAGGGTAGTTAGGTTTGGGGAGCGCGCTAGAAGCAGGGATGGTGGAAGGGGGAGGGAGATGGAAGTCAGTCTGAGTGTGTGTTGTCACTCTGGTACACATCGCAGTGTAGCGATTGCGGAACGCATAGCGCAGTGTGTTAAGAGTGAAGTGGGGAGGAGGGGATGTGAAGAGGGTGTGAGGGTTGTGTGTCGGCATGTTCATCGGGTCAAGGGACGGAGGGATCCTTTTTGATGGGGCTGTGTTTGTTTGAGCTGTGAGAGAAACGGGAGTAGACGGAGAGTGCTGGGTTGTAAATTGGATTAGAGAGCACAGGGGCATGTTGTGATAGATGGTAGAGAACAGTGCGTGATACCCTAGACTATTGGACACGGGGAAATTGGAATTGGAACTTCGTATTCATTCTTCTTACATGATCCTTATAAAAAGCGCTATACTCCTAAATCGGCTGTGTGAACCCAGTTCATGCAGCCAGATACATATCGATACCCAAAACCTCTCGATCTCTTTTGATATCGTGCCGTTCCCCTCAATCTTCTTTTGTACATTCCAAACCTTCTCTCTTTTCTCTACGCAGTCTTCTTCTTCCCAATGCTAGTATCAATGCTACCCACGACCCACGTAACAGCAAACACGGCAAACATGCCCAGAGTAATAACAACGGGCTTCCGGTATCCAGCAGTCCAGGGGTAGTCGTACGTGACAACGAGGTCACGGTCTCTGAACTCATCAACCAGGTTAATAGCCGTGAGTTCGAGTGTGGTGCGGCCGAGGGTATCCATGAAAGTCTTGTGGAGGCTAGTTTCGTTGCTGACGATAGGCACAGTGGTGGAGAACTTGACGTTCTTCGCGCCTTCGGGGAGGATGACGCGCAGGTTTACGCGGCCGTAGGAGATGCCTTCGCCGGAGCGGGGGCCCTCGAGGAAGGGCACTTTGAGCGCGTAGGTGTCGCCCGTGGAGAGCTTGCGCAGGTACGAGGATAGGTCTGCGTTCCAGCCAACGCGGAAGCTGTACTTCCAGGTTCCGAACACGGGGTAGCGCGGCTTCAGTTCCAGAAGGGCTTCTTTCTTGCCCGGGCGGAACTTGGAGGTCGAGACGTTACCGATGTCGTCGGTGAAGTAGGGGTCGACGGCGCCGGGGGCGAGGGGCAGAGCGAGGCCCTTGAGGGCGAAGGTGGGTGGGTTGAGGTAGGACTGGCGCTGCCATTCTACGCGCGAGAAGTGGTTCTTGAGTCCTGCGCCTTGGTTGACGAGCCAGTAGCGCTCCTCGGATGCTAGGTTGCCGCCCCAGTGCGAGACCTCGATGTCGCGCTCCAGCAGTGTCGCGTGGGTGACGGGCTTGGTGAACTCGTAGCGCACGCTTACGGCCTGCTGGGCGCCTGCGGGCACGTTGTTGTAAAGACCGTATGTGAAGGTCGAGCCTTGCTTCTGGGGGTCGGCGGTCTGCTCGTCGTTGAGCTCCGAGGGAAGGCTCGTGTAGTCTGGCACATCGCTGTTGGGGAACTTGACCTTGGTTCGCTGCTTCTCGGTGAGGTAGGCCGAGGGTGCGTATGCGCTGAAGTCGTATTGAATGTACTGCTTGTCCGTCTGGGCGATCTGGGCGGGGACGGGCTTCAGAGCCGAGGCGATCGAGTAGGAGATGCTGATGGTTTGTTGCGCCTTGGGTGCGAGGGGCTCGGGGAGGTGGATCTTGTAGAACTCGACGGAGCTGTCCCGGTCAGTCTCGACATGTAACATCAATCGCACCATTGCCTACCTCTCTGCATCAAAGCCCACCACCTCGACCTTGAAGATGCCCTTCTCAGCCGCCTTCTTGTCTCTTACTTCGAACCCTCCAACTTTGGACAATGTGCTCGAGTCGAATGGCAGGTAGTATTCTGATTGCGCCTTGTCGTCAATGTTCTCGATTATGACATTGATCGTCTCCCTGACGTATGCCTTGTCCAGGTTCGTCGTCCGGACTAGGTTGGCATTCTTGAACACCTGCGGTGGTGTAAATGTGCTGGGTAGCACTTGCTTGGATAGCAGCGGTTGTGACAGGTTGAGTTCGGCGCTCGCGAAGCTCGAAAGCGCTGCTATGCAGCTCGTAAAGAGGAAAGACCTCATTGTTGGACCAGCAGTCAAGCTATCCAGTCATGTATGAGGTCGGTGGTGAGGGAATTGGGTTGGCTGGCAGGTTGGGCAGTCGGTGGTTACGCGGCGGATGTTGCGTCGTAGGTGTTCTCTTCGGAGTTCCCTGGCACCTCCGCGTCTTGGCGCGACAGCTCGAGCTCACCCCTCCATGTCTAGCTTTCTACCCACCCTCACTCTCTCACGTCACTATGAGACTTCTAGCACGTTCATTTGGTAGGCCAAGGATATCTGCCAGTCGCAATGGCATTGCGACTGCATCGGGAAGGCGCCATTTGACCAACAATGGCTTCTTCCGTGTCTCGGAGGAGGTGCGCGAAGCTCTACACTCCAAAAAGCCCGTCGTCGCGCTGGAGACGACAATCTACACTCATGGTAGGATTGAAAGATATGCGTAAGCGCATCGTTTGCTAACTCACGTGACAGGCTTTCCCTACCCTGAGAACGTAGCCCTCGCATCCCTCCTCGAAAGCGTAGTCCGAACGAATGGCGGCATCCCAGCTACTATTGGTATTCTAGACGGTGTAGCACGTGTAGGCATGGATCCAGAAGAGCTGATCAAGCTGGCTTCTTCTGCTGGTAATCCAAACACAATGAAGCTCTCGCGACGAGACCTCGGCTATGTATGCGGTATGCGACTGACCGACAAGTCCTTCAATGGCGGTACAACTATATCAGGCACTATGCTGCTCGCTCACCTCGCTGGCATTAAGATCTTTGGAACAGGTGGCCTTGGTGGGGTTCATCGCGGCGCTGAGTCAAGCATGGATATTTCTGCCGATTTGACAGAGCTCGGCAGGACTCCGGTCACCGTTATCTCTAGTGGCTGCAAGAGCTTCCTCGACATACCACGGACGATAGAGTATCTTGAGACCGAAGGCGTAGGTGTAGGCACCTTCGCCGATGGACGACAAGGCAATGTAGACTTCCCTGCCTTCTGGTCGAGGGACAGTGGAGTCAAGAGTCCCACGACCATTGCGGATGAGATCGAGGCGGCTGCTGTCATATGTGAGTCTTCAAATCCCCTTCTTGTTCCATTACTAATACCATTTAGATGCGCAACACGCACTCCAAATCTCATCTGGTCTCCTCTTCGCCAACCCCGTTCCTATCGATTTCGCTATACCCAAGGATGAAATGGATGTGATCATCGCCGAAGCTCTGAAACAAGCTGAAGCAGCCAACATTTCCGGCAAAGACAACACACCCTTTGTGCTTGCTAAGATCAAGGAGCTCAGCAAGGGCAAGAGTATACCCGCCAACAGGGCCCTTATAGAATCGAACGTGAGACGGGCCACCATCGTAGCACGAGAGCTTGCCATACTTGAAGCAAAGCAGGAAGAAGCCCAAGGGTGAGCCAGCACTCTTGTTGCTTAATGTAGACTGGCACTGATGTAAGTATGCTAGACGAAGTTCCTCTTACTTCACTCCTGTTCAGTCCAGTCCCGCTTCTACTATGGGAGAGCAACTGAGTAATGCACCTCCATCACCTTCTGAGCCTCCTTCAACTCCCGTTACCTCGATCTCATCCACGACCGAGTCTCAACAAGTCCCAGATGTAGTCGTTGCAGGTGCCCTCGCGGTCGACTTTTCGTGTGACTATGCTCCGTTTACAGCCTCTACGAGCCAAACAGAACCACTACCTCACACCTCGAACCCAGCAGTCATCACCCAAACACTGGGAGGCGTAGCGCATAACATTGCGAAGGCCTCTCACCTCCTAGGCTCCTTTGTCCATCTCCACAGTGCCGTTGGCGACGACCTGAGCGGCCGCGCAGCCCTCAGCCAGCTGCAATCGGAAGGCATGCCGATAACCGGTATCAAAACCCTCCCAGCCCCATCCCGGACAGCCCAATACGTCGCCATCAACAACACGAACAAAGACCTTGCCCTCGCCATGGCAGACATGTCAATCTTAGAAACCATCCCCATCGATACAATCCAAGAACTCGCGGCCAGCATCTTCACCACCACCTCTCCCCGCCCCAAAGCCTTCGTCACAGACGCAAATTGGTCGTCACCCGCTCTACACACCTGGCTCCAAGCCGCCCGTCACCCCGATACAACCACAATCTTCGAGCCTGTCTCCACGGCAAAGGCGCTGCGTATATTCCCTTCCACCTCCAGCACCACAGCGGCACAATCCATCTACCCTCTCCCCCTCGTCGACATCATAACACCAAACACCTACGAACTCACCGCTCTCCACGATTACGCCGCACAATCCACGCTCTTCGAGTCTCCAGAATGGTTTGGTGTGATAGACGCGCTGGGTATACCCAACGGCGGCTTACGCGTCCCGCTAGCCGTCACCGTAGGAAGTCAACTGGTCGACCAAGGCATCGCGCAACAAACCATCAAACTCCTCCCCTTTTTCCCTACTATCCTGACGAAATTGGGGAGCAAGGGCGTGTTGATGACGAAATTGCTCACGAGCGATGCGGAGGAGTTGTATGATGAGGGGGAGAGGGGGTATGTTCTTGCGAGGAATGTGTCGTCGATGGATTCAGCTGGTGGAGATGGGAAGGGCAAAGGCGTTGGTGGTCTTTACATAAGACTGTTTCCGGTGGAGAAGGTGCTACAGCCCAGTGAGGTGGTTAGTGTGAATGGGATTGGCGACACGTTTTGTGGGGCGGTTGCGCATGGACTTGGGAGGGGGATGAAGGTTAAGGATGTTGTGGGGTTTGCGCAGAGGGCGGCGGGGGAGAGTTTGAGGAGTAAAGAGGCGGTGGGGGAGGGGTTGAGGGCGTTGAGGCTGTAGATTTGGATGCCGATATATGGGATACCGAGATGGGTATTTTGAGACTGGAATGTTAATTCTGCATGATTGAGAGACGTAGTTTAAGTGTGTTGTATTGACAAGTCTGCGATGCAAAATGCTACACAGTATCGACTTCGTGATCGCATGACTACCTGCTCCGACCGATTTACATACACACACACACACACACACACACACACACACATCAGGTTTTAAACCACGGCAGAGAATGTAGAAAGGCTCTCTCCATGAATAGATTCCTTATTTGTTTTAGGTGTGCGAAGTGCTGAAGTGGGATCTCATCGAATAACAGATGTGTCGTTTTCGGCGAGAAGAACTCCAGATCATGAGTGTGAATGGTGGGGTTTTTTAGTTGAAAGAGAGAGGAAGCAGTGTAGTGAAGAAGAGTGAGTGCGAATGTGGAGTTTATATATGCGTCGAAAGAGTCATGAGGTCAGCGACGTTGGATTTGAAGTCGATAGTTTGAGGTATTGTCATCGACTCCACAGAACTCGCAGAGACATGCAACGACTTCCTTGCAGTTTTGATCTCTCCTATGGAGAGCTTGATGCAAAATTGTTAACGTTTCTCAGCAGCGTACCCATAGCTTTGTGTCCCTGAACTCTTTCAGGAGAACAACACAAACATGATAGCGATGAGTTTGCTTTTGAGAAGCGTCAAAAGGCCACAAGGACCGGTTCTCTTCTCATAACTCGGTCTCAATGAAAATTTAAGAGGGCTCTCCATCATCTTGTTTGACGAAGATTTTGGTCGCACAAGTCGTACTCTCGAATTCTCATGGTAAGCTTGATAGGCTCTTTTTGGTTCGGCGAGGAGATTCTCAGTCCATCAGTTGTTGAATGATGCGTTTTGGACAGTAAAGGAAGCAGTGTTGTGAAGAAAGAATCGTTGAAAGCTGGGGTTTATATATTGCTAAAGACGTGGCCATAGCGCAGTGTGTTCTTAGCGGCTTAGTCTCTCTTTTTGTATTTCCAGCTCAAAGCTCTCAGTCACATGAAGTGATGTACCTCGTCTTTCCAGGACGAACACATGGCTCTGCTCTGGCTCTGCTTTGGAATTGCAATAGCTGATATCAAATGCCACGGTCTCGAGCTCATCATTGTCTTCCTCATTTTCTTTTAGGAAGGAAGGACAAACATTCCAGACTCTGAGTGCAATCTTTGGAAAGAGAGAAGAACATCAGACTCTTCTGATTTTTTTTGGTAAACCCAAGGAGCTGAGTGTAATAAACAAGAGTAAGATCAAAGGTCACCGCCGCGGTATTTATACACACAGCTGCCCCACTAGGAGACACCCATATAAAGAAGCGGCAGATGTGTGTTTAGTGTTACAAGCTCAACATCCTCAGCCACATCATCAACCTCAGTCGCGATTTTTCGGACGCACACATGGACTTGTCCAGGATGTGTTTAAGAGATACTGTAGGCAATGCCAAATCCCACAGTCTCGAACTCATGACACTCTTTTTGGGCGTTCTGGAAGGGAGGAAGAACATCCAAGGCGCCAGTTACTGTTTTGAAAAAGAAGAAGAGAACATTCAACTGAGATAGTACCCTTTTTGGTAGACTCAGGAAGAGAGTGTGATGAAAAGGAGTAAAGGTAACCGCAGCGGTATTTATATACACAGCTTCCGAACAGCCAGACACCACGTGTGAAGTCGTTATGTACATTTTTGGTGCTCCAAGCTCCACGCTCTCGAACACATCATCATCCTGAATGCACGTTTTTTGACGCCACACGTGTACTGCGATGTTTACAGCATACGTGAAAATGTGGCGGTTTCCAGAATTCAAAAGACTCGGCTTCATTCACACTTGCAATGCAGGTTTCAGGAAAGACAGCACACAGCCATTGCTGGGTGGCAATCTGTTTTTGGAAAGACAGAAGACCATCAAGCATTCCCACATCGTTTTTGAGAATACGTGGGAAAAGAATAGAGAGGAAAGAGGTTTGCCCAGACCCATGTATAGAACCGGTGATATGTTCGGCAACCTGGCTGACGCGAGATCCCGGAGGGTCGGTCTCATAGCTTTGTTTCTGGCGGTTTTGAGGAAAGAAGGCGCAAAGACATTTCTAGGTCAAGGAGCCTTTTTGGAAAAAAGAAGAAATACCATTCACGCCAGGAACGCCTCTTTTGGTAAACTCAAGAAGTAGAGTGTGATACAGAAGAATGAAGGTGCTGCCGGTGGTATTTATACCCGACCATCCCATGCAGAGAAACAGCTCATATCTCACCGAGGAAAGCTTTTAGGTATTGATGAGATAAATCTCGCACTCATCTCCCGCATCACACCGTTTCTGTTCTTTTTGAGATGGCAGCGAGACAGTGTGGGCATGTGTTCGCTGTTGTGCCTTTTCAGCAGAACATGGAGAGGAGCTGAGGACTTTCAGGCGCGTTCAGGCCGGCGAGAAGGACATAATCGAGGGCTTCGATTGTTTTGGAGAGACTCTCCAGGCCAGACAGGACATTTGTAAAAGCCTACGAAGTTTTGATCCCGAAGGATAAAGTGGTAGATAATAGGAAGAAGGTAGCAGACGCAGTGATCGAGGGTTTATATACCCCAAATTTGCTGCAAGAGGAGGAGAGAGCCGCAGTCCATGAAACATGTCAATGGATGTTTTGTAGTAGGAACGATCTTCGCAAGTCCCAGTCGCTCTCGACCATAGTAGCGACATCTTGTTTTTTGAGAGAAGCACACCCCATGTCCTTCTTCCTCTTTCTCTCCGCTGTTGCAATCCCCAGCGCAATGCCGCATCATCCTTGTGCCTGATGGATCTTTCGGTCACTCCGACGAACGCGCCATACTTCGCTTCCTCCTGTGTTTTTGGTAAAACTCTGGAGAGTTTTTGAGATAGATGATAGAAGAAACCGATCAGCGAAAGAAGAGTTTATATATGCCCAGCCGGTCCGTGCCACCGCACAGGAAGCAGAGACGCCGGAGACCAAGCGGCATGTCGTATGCTTTTTGGATCTTTTGGTCATATTGTAAAGACCTCTGCGCTTCCTTTCTTCCATACTACTTTCGATAGATAGTTTTGGAAGTCCACAGAGAACATGGTGAGTTTCACGATGTTTTGTTAACGCGGGAAGAGGACATGGGAGGTTTTGGAAGTCCACAGAGAACATAACAAGTTTCTTCAACGTTTTGTAGACGCAGGAACAGGACATAGAGTTGTCGGGTAGAAGTTTTAGAGGCGCGCTCACACCATCGTGGTAACCCATTACAATTTTTGGTCCTCACAGCTGGACACCCATGCATGGTTGGTGGATAGTTTTTGGAAAAGAAATTAAGAGATTGTGGTGTAGAAAAGAGAAGCAGACCGAGCTCTAGAGGTGTTTATATACCCTCGCACCTCACTAGCGCATAGTATGTCGAAGAGGCAGAAGACCCACAGGCCATCAATGTGTTCACCAAACCTTTCAGTTTCGAGTATGCGAGCTCTCACACACTTCTCTCTCATAACATCGCTAGCTTCTAGTTTCTTGTCTCCATCTTTCTTCTGGATGGTACTTTTGGTAGTTTTTCGCAGGAAGGCTCGTCATGATAGGGATTTGAACCATATTTTGAGTTCTGCAGAAGGGAGGAGGCAGAAATCCATCTTATTTCATGATAGTTCTGGGGAATGCCGAATCATGCCCATTGCGCGAATTGGATTTTCGAGAAAAGCGGGCAGAGAATCATGTGCGAATGCGGACCACATTTTGGTAAGATCCCCGAAGGAAGTGGTGGTGATGAGGAAAGAAGAATAGGACCGGAAGGTAGAATTTATATCTGCCTTTCTCACTACTCCGCGGCAGTAACGACCAGATACTCGCTAAACGAGCTCATCAAGGGCTGTCTTGCTGTATTTTGTACACCACACCGCTCTCAATCTCTCATACGGACATGTTATCGTCCTTTTGGAAACATGTAAATAACGAAGGTGAGTTTTGAGTGAAAGACCGGAAAGCGGAGAAGAGAGACATTGTCCTTGAGCCATAGGTTTTTGAGAAAGAAGGAGCAGAAGAGCCATAGCTCGTACATCCAGTGTTTTTGTAAAAGCCCAAAGGCATGTAGAGTGATAAAGACAAGAAAGAGGGGATGGAGGGGGTTTATATACTCATTCAACTGCTCAGCCGCTATTCCAAATTCGTTATACGGATTGGAAGCAGGAAGACGGACAGCCATATGCAGAATGCCGACCTGTTTTGGTACAACCCCACTCTTACTCTCTCCATGAAAAGATCCTTGATTGTTTTGGTAGACGCAGCGAGAGCCACTCCATCATCTTTTAGTGTGCGCTTTTCTCGCACAGCCATCATTTTCTTTGTCGTCCTCTTATAGCACAGCCATGTCACTCTATCTCGATCGTTTCAGACACTGGAGAAGGATCGCACAGGACAGACTCCATGCAACCTGAGCATCTCTATTTTGAAGACGAGAGAGACAATCCATGTGTCCTTCATCTCTTGTTTTAGAAAAAGGCGGAGAAGACAGCGGACTCCATAACATGTTTGAATAGATCTTTCAGTAGAAAAGAAAGCCGAGGAAGCGAGACACCCCATCAGAAGTTCGTATCGAAGTTTAGGAGGAAGCCGGAGCAGACATTCAAATTTGCGTTATCCTTTTTGGAGAGCGCGAGGGAGACACACTCCATCTGTGAGGTGTGAACGTAGTTTAGAGAAAGGCAGAGAAGCAGACAGACTCCATGGCTCTCTTTGAAGTAGTTTTTTTTTGGTACAACGAAGAGGAGGAAGGCAGACTCCATTCGTGTTGTTTGATCACTTCTGGTGTAAAAGCGAACAGAGAAGCCCTCCCCCTCATGGTTCGGAGCTTGCAGATTTTTGGAAGAAAGCCCAGACACACTCCATAAACGCACTCCATGGATATTTTGGTAAAAGCACAATCAAGTGCGTAGGATAAGGAGACAAGAAAGGCAGTCAAAGGAGGTGTTTATATACCCAACCTCACTCCTCTCTTCTCTCCATCTTCGTTGCTCTCTGGTCTTTCGACAGATGGGCGGTGGACTGCCAGCGCGCCGCTCATCCGCAATGCCAGTATGGTTTTTGGTATGGAAATCTGGGTGGAGTCTGCTCTCATATCGACCACGTCGATTTTGTTTGAAAGAGAAGGAAGAGCACAACATGTCGGAGATTTGTATATGGTTTGGTGTTCAGACGTGTATCCAGACACGTCAGATTTTGGGTTTCCGGCGCCGAGGAGACCACACATACTAGTTGAATGATCTCATTTTTGGAAAAGGCGGGAAAGAAGCGCACATGCCGTTGTCGTCTTGCAAGTTTGGAGAAGAGCCAGCGAAGAGCGCACATGGAGCAGCTGGCTCTCGATTTTGGAAAAGAAGAGGAGGAGCGCACATGGCGCATTATTTTGGTGTATTTTGGAGAAAAAGAGGAAAGCTTTTGTGATGGAAGAAAGAGAGTGAGGGAGGCAGGAGAGGGGTTTATATACGCATCCCCAGGCCAAGCGTCATGGTGCGCTAAACCCAAGTAGCCGTTGGACTTATACGCCTCTGCTACCAGCTACGTAAATGCAATTGCACGCACACGGGACGAATACAGAGTAAGATATGTTTGCACAGGTAAAAGCGATAGTCATTCACTAACCCCCTACTTCTCCTTCCCCTCTTCCCCTTCCATCCTCCCTCACCATCCTCGCATCCTTCAACCATACAGCGCCTCTCTACACCCAAAAACGCTCCAAGCAGACTGCCACCCCACATCCCACATCGCTCATCCCAAGGCCGTGAAAAAAGAGACTATCCATCCACCCATCCGTTCATCCGCCCATCGCTCGAACAAGCAAAACCAGTGCCCAAGCCCCATCCCGCTCATTCCAATCCCTCGTCCACAAAGCGCGACCCAATTCCAATGATAACAATAAACCTTACAAGCCACTGCCACAGACCAGTCCAGTCCAGTCCCGTGCACACGTAGGGTCGCATACCCAAGCAAGCCCAAGCCACACAAACCAAATCGCACAGTGCCAAACCGAGAGACAGGAAAACCCAAAGATGAAAAATCGCATAGCGCCCAAGAACCTAAAAGCCGCTCAGGAGCGAGCTCCCTTAAAACGCCGTGAAACAGCCCAGGTGTTCGACCTCGCAAATACTGTCTGCGAAGTCTGATAGTGTGATGTGTGAGTGGTATCGAGATACTGAGGTAAAATGAGGTGAACGCGAGATGAGGTATCGAGAGTAAAGTATAGAGAGTTCGCAGCCTCCAGGGCGGATCGGTTCGAGCGTATCGGATCGTATGGATATGTATGGAAGTACGCGCGCGCGTGTGTGAGGTCGATGACGATGACGATGACCGAGAGGAAGAGATATGCGGTTCGCCGTGTTCCTTCGCCGAGGATGCGGGGGTGGTCGATTAGGATGGATAGAGATAGGTGTGTTGTGCGAATAAGGTAGCGGGATACGGAATTCTCGGTCATCGTCCGTCGGTGTCTGTAGTGAACGGCGCATTGTCGTAGTCTGTTGTTGCGGTGTTGCATGATTATCGTCATACTGTAGTTAAGTTTCTTGATACGGCGACTGCCCACTCCTCAAGAAGGCGCCATACCCTCAATCGCCCCCTTTTCAAACTCTTCCAACCGCTTCAACTTCGCATCGAGCTCCGCGAAGATATCGCCCATATGACACGCCTGCTCGAGCAGCGGTGCACTGCCAAACGGCCGCATGCGGTGGCGTAGAGCAAGGGTGCTGGCACAAGACTGTTTCCCAAGTCAGCAAACACACTCCCTTCAAACCAAACAAAGACTGTAAAACATACCTCGATCCTCGAAATTTGATGCTCAACAAAGTTAATCAAGAAACGATCGGTAATCTCCCCACCCCGGCTCTTCATCCTCTCCAGCAACGCCGTCTCGGGCGGTTTCAGTTCAGAACAACCCGGGCTCTCGAGCGAACTGCACAGCATCTCCAGACGTAGACTAATATTCCAGAGATCCCACACATCTTCGGTATCGATAGTGAGCTGACTCCCCGCCATCTTCTGACCAGCCGTAGCCTCCTTCTGCTGCTCCACGGGTTTCTGTTCCGTCTGGCGCTGGACCGCCAGCCGACTAGCCAGCGAGTGCGGATACATGAGGTAGATATACTCAGGGTTCTCGAGACCTTTAAGACGGCGTTCACCGAGGTCTTTGACTTCGAAACCTTGGGAGCTGAGGGAGCGGAGTTCGCCGCGGATCATCTGGCTGTTCATGTCGTCGCCGTAGGCTTCTTCGGATCCGGCGGAGTTCTTACGGTCGCCTTCAATGTGCGTTTCGAGGAGACGTTGGATCTCGGCGATGAAGTCGGAGGAGACGGTGATTTGGCCACCGTCGGCTACGGAGGAGATACGTGAGGCGCGGTTGACCATGGGTCCGAAGTAGTCCATGCGCTTCGTGACCGGATCGACTTCGCACACCGGTGTGCCCCAATGGATACCCATGCGGACTGAGAGACCGCGGAAGATGACGTTACCATCCGGATCGACAACTTCCTGTCCATTGACGCTGTTGAGTATCTCTTGCGGCCACTGTACTTCGAGAAGCTGGCTCTGGATCGTGAAACACCACAGCAGAGCTGATGTCACAGTGCGGAAAGCGACCATGAAGGCATCACCTTCCGTCTTGACCTCGTACCCACCAATAATGCGTAGTTGTCGGCGCATAAGCTCGTTGTGCATCTTTATTGCAGAACGCATAGCAATCGGGTACGTCTCCCACAGTATGGTCGAGTTCTTGATATCTGTAAACACGAGACTGACTTCGCCCGTTGGCGCGTCCACTTCGTTGTCGAGTCGAGCGAGCTTGGAGTCGCCGACCAGATTGCCCTTCTTTCCACGTCTGCGCGACGCGCCCCAGTCTGGATCTGCACCAGGTGCGGGTATGAGGGACATGCTTTGGGTGCGGTACCGGGCACGTTGTTTGCTCTTGAGATCGCTCACACCAAGCAACATGACCATGATCTTGTTCGTCGCACCAAAGGCAATAGCCAAATCGCGCAGTTTTTGGGCGGCAACCATCAGGTCGTTTCGCTCCGATCGTGCGACATCGACAGCGAAGTCTGGTGTGAGGTATTCCCAGAGTTCTCGCGAAGCTATCAGGATCATCTCATCTGTGTCGCCAAGAGTGAGGTTCATGATATGCGGCGATGCGATGACTGATGGCGACATTTGAACGTATCCAAATGCTCTTGATACCTCGAGCATGTCGTTGAGTTTACCCTGCCGCGACACGAATCCGCCGGCTTCTCGTATCCTGGATCGCTCACTTGGCTCAGCGGGGTCGTGCTTCCTGGTAAGGATCTTGTGTCCTCCTTCTGAACGGATCAGAAGGGCTTGCGCATCACCAACGTTGGAGATGTAGAGCTCCATCTCTTTCAGGAAAAGTACTGTTGCCACACTTCCCGATGTCAGGTCGTCGTCACTAAGATCAGGCACTGAATTGCGCGTTTGTGTTGATGGTGCAGTGAGTCCGTTCTTGTCCAGACCCTGACTTGCAGCGGTAGCGAGTTCCTTATTGAGGCCAAGGTAACTTCGTCGCAGCGCATCCGACGGCGTTTCATTCGGGCGCAAACGGTCGAGCTCATCAGCGAATCGGTTCTTGAACTGATCGTACAGGTATTTGGCAATTTTCGCACCGCCGCCCGCAAGCGGCTGTGCGTCAAACAGACCCAACAGCTGTTCGTCGTCGTGGCTGCGGAAGCGGGGCACAACCATGTCCATTGTCGAGATGTGTTCGTTGCGACCCAGTGAATCGGCCATACCATACGCCATAGTACCCACAGCCGAACCAGCAGTGCGCACTCGCCGGTCCTCTGACTGTTCAGGGACTGAAGGAACCATCATCGTGACGTCCATCAGCCCAAGTACGCGAAGATTAATCAACGAGCTGAAGTCGGTCAGGTCGCGCCCTTCTCGCATACTCATGCCGCCGCCACTGTACGAGCCGCTGGGTTTGATCTCGAGACGCTTGTTGCCTGACAGATTCAGGTATCGGAGTTTGTGATTCCAGTTCCAGTTCCAGTCATATGGCCAATTCGACACGTTGTATTTCAGCAAATTGCTAGCCACATCAAGAACAGCCAACTGTGCAACCTTGCCAAGCTCGGCCGGCAGCACCTGGAACTTGTTGTTGTTGATGTGAAGGACCTTGAGCGAGCCAACTTCCTCCAAGTCCTCTGCAGGTAGAGACGTGAGGTCGTTGCCCGACAGGTACAGCTCAGTAAGATGTTGCCATCGTCGGATCGTACGAGGTGGAACGTCATAGATGAGATTGTATGCTAGATTCACAATTCGCAATTCGGGGAGAAGACACAGTTCGTCGAACACGTCGTCGTTCAGCCGGTTGTCAGCCAAGAACACGTGTCGAAGAGAACCCGCAAAGGTAGTCACCAAGCGACTACTAAGGCTGGAGTCTTTGCGGGACATGGGTGTCAGTGTCCCTTCGGTGGGCGCGCGAGACGCTACTGATGTCTTGCGCGCCGTGCTTGAAGTGTTGTATGACGCCATCGACCCCTTCCGTTGCGAAGAGGCAGCCGACGAACCAACACTCAGACCTCCTGATGCTTGACTAGGACGGCGATTCTGGAAGTCTTCCAATTTTCCCAGCTCTTCGTAACTGGGACTTGATGTCAAGCCTGGAGTGACAAGCGCAGGCGCTCCGTCTACTTGAGCTTGTTCCCCATTTGCTACTGGTGGAGGTGATGCGCCGGGTTTGGGGAACGTGGTAAGAACGTTGGACGACACGTTTAGCGTTTCTAATCGGCGAGCATACCAAAGCTCCTCGGGAAGCTTGGGCAGATTGTTCTCGCGCGCGTCCAAGTAGCGAAGCTCCACCAAGCGACCGATCTCGGCAGGCAAGTCATCCAAAGAGTTTCGAGCTATACTGAGATGTTCCAGCCTGTACAGCTTTCCAATGTTGGTCGATATGGACGTGAAGTGATTCTTGTCGAGGATGAGCTTAGTGAGGCCAGTCAGTTTGCCAAACAGATCCTCGGGTAATTGCGCTAGTTTGGCAGACGCAAGATTGAGGGCGGTTAGTGTTGGGGTGGGCTGAGTGAGGCCGAAGCGTGTAACTGGGTTGTGGTTCATGTGCAGCACACGGATCTTCGGGAAATAGCCTTCGAAGGCCGAAATAGAGTTGTGGCCGATCATCAGGTACTCCAATCGGGGTAATTGGGACATGACATCCATACTATCAAGCGCGTTGAACCGCACGTCGATTTCTCGCAGGTTGACCAGATTGCTCAGTGTTGGAGGGAAGCTGCCGGTTAATTTGTTGTTTGTCGCCCAGAGTCTTTCTAGACATGTCAACTGGCCAATCTTGGGCAAGCTCGATATCGAGTTGAAACTGATGTCAAGATCCACCAGTGTCCGGACTTCGCACAGGAAGTCGGGGAATTCGTTCAAGGAATTCGAGCTCAAGTTCAAACTGCGAAGCGCGCGATATTGTCCAAAGTAGTGTGGCAGTCGCGTCAGCCCGTTGTTGGAAAGTCGAAGCCCTTGCAGACTTTGTAGCTTGTGCAATTCAGCACGGTCAAGAGACTGGAGGCGGTTGTTCGAAATATCCAACATGGTCAGCCGGCTAGCAAGACTCAGACTGGGCGGTAGTCGTCGCGCGTCATTGCTGGTGTACTTGATCTCCCTCAGATTGGTGCAAGCAAGGATAAAGTCTCTAGGTACGTCAAGTGATAGGTTCCGCGACAGGTTGAGCGATATTATCTCTGTCGCTTTTTGGTAGAGTGTAATAGGAATGGTGATCAAGTTCCGACCTTGGAGATCAATGTGACTGAACTTCTGCATCTTGCTGAAACCGGGATCCCGTTCCAGACTGGAGTATCCACTCATCTTGGCAGGGAGGAAGGTGAATCTGCAGAGGTAGCTGTTATCTTCCCGTCCGACGTCTTCGAGGCGGTCTAGATCCGTATATCCGGCGAGTTCCAGCAACCGCTTCTGGATCAGCAGCGGACGCTCGTTACTTTCCAGTTGCCGTGAGGTGTCATGTTTTCGCATCACGATGTGGTAGTTGTCCAATTCGTCCTGCAACACGGTCTTCTTCCCTAGTATTTGTATGATTTCCTGCACGGTCGTGTTCAAGGTAGCTGATAGTGTCGCAAAAGTTGAATCGACTCTGAAAATGCGCAGACAATACGTCTTGTTGTCGCTCTCTTCTTTGGAAGGCGTTGTAGCCTCGTCGGCATCTCCAAGCTTGTCCATCTCGTCCTTCATGCGCTTCACGGCCCAGGAGTCTGGCGCGTCCCACGCTGCGGTACCGTCGTCATCGGGTCCTGGTATAGAGATGTCTTCACCAAGATTTGGTGGCTGCTTTGGCACCTCGCCTACAGGCGGTGTCATCGGCGGTGCCTGTTGGAGATTCACAATGCCTTCCATGTCGTCCAGATTTCTGTCCAGGAAGAAAACAGCATCGTTGCCTGCTGTGCTAGCGATACTATCGTTAGGGTCCCGTCCCGTAGGCTCGTTCGCAGGTGCGCGCTTCTCTTTCCGGAAGGTAGGCAAGCGGTGGTGAGGCGCTCGCATTCTCTGTTCCTTGGCTGCGCTCTCAACGCCATTGTTGATTGCCTGCTGCTTCGCCATGGTGGCCTGCCGAGCCGGCTCTGGCCTCGCGGATCGTGTCGTGTTAATCGAAGGATTCAAAGACGTGGCGGAGGCAGTCCCAGCAGCGACCAGACTCTTGAGGGTGTCTCCCGGTAATGTGCGATCCTTGTCCTTGTCCTTGCCTCGTAACCGCGCGAAAAACCCGTGTGACGCCTTGTTGGTGCTGGGAGACCGTTGCGCTATCCTGTCATCTCTTGTCATATCCGAGTATGAGCTTGGCGTAGGGCTCGACGGCCGTCCCAGAAGGCTTGTCTTGGAGGCGAAGGCGGAGCTGAGGGCCGAGGGTTGGTTCGGTCGGACGCTGTAGCTGGAATCTTCGCGGCTGGTAGTGGGGCGCAGCGGGTAAGGCTGGCTTATGTCTGCGCGTCCGTCTGGGGCCTTGTTGTCCTCCTTGCTGCCCTTGTGCCGGTGGCCAGTGCCAGGCAGTCTTACGTGCAGCTTGTGATGCGATCGACCCGATTTGGCAGAATGTTGCTCGGAGGAACGACGGCCGCCATACTCAGCGGGAGTGGGAACGTCCTGTGAGGGGTTAGTGATACAGGTCCGAGGTCGGCGGTGGAGTGGTAGGGCAGGAGCATGAGTGAAAGACGCAGTGCCTTCCTCTGGATGTGAACTAGACTCACCTTGGAGTCTTGGAACTCCCATGGCGTGACTTCCGAGGACGCCTGCGGGGTGCGTGGCCGGGAGCTGGTAGGCGAGGTCGGGCGCGACTGGTGCTTACTGCCAATTGTGTTGCTGAGGGAGTTGCCGCGGTTGCGCTGCGGCGTGCCCAAGCTCGAATCCGAGTTCTGGCGGTCGTCGGCGGGGAAGTCCTCTCCGAAAACGTTCTGCAGGCGTTTGTGGAAATTCCGGCCCATGCTCGACTTGGAACCCGTGCTGCTGACAGTCGTGGCACTGGCTACGGACGGTCGTCTGTCGTCCTTCATGGGGAAGCCCATGCTGTCCTCTCTGGTGCCGGTTCCCGGGCGGAAGCCAGGCGACGACTGGGAGACATCCTCGTTTGAGTCGTTGAAGAAGCTGCTCCAGACGCTGTTGGTCATGTTGTTTCCGTTGGGCGCGGTGGACCAGGGCGCGACCTGTGAATTGGCGCTCGAAGCGGTGGGGGGGTTGCGCGATATGGACGGCACTCGGCCTCCCGAAGTCTCCAGGACAGCCAGCTGTTTTCGGTGGTGGCCAAAGGCGCTGGGCGTGAGAGCGTCCCAATTGGCAGGCTTGCGCGGGCGGTGCGAGGGGTTGTCTTTGGGCGGCGGAGCTGGGGGGACGGTGCCAGGCGATATCTCGGATTCCCGCTCGACACTATGGCGTGTTAGCAGTCATTGTGGTCGTGGCGTGGATGCACGTGTAAGAGTAAGACAGGCAAGACATGTCTCTTCCCGCGTCAAGACGAGACGAGGCCAGAGTCAAGGTCGAGGGCGCACAGCGCGCGCCGCCACCCCAGCCAGCATCCATCTCGCGCGGCACCAGACGCAACAACATACCGGGAATTGAGGTTCTTGTCCGTCTTGACGGTGACGGGGGTACCCCTCAGCGAACCCGCGCGTCCATAGGGCCGTATCGTGTCGCCCGAGCGCGAACTCCACGAGCTCTCTACCGAACCATGGCGGCCGATGGTCTCGTTCCTCGTCATGGCGGCGGCGGGGGCGTGCAGGGTGTGAGTCGCGGAAGTGGCCCGCGTGGGCGGCGGGAGTGTTGGTGGGGACTGCTTGCGCAGAGTGGACGTGGACGGCTACTTCATCGAGGCGGGACAGCAGCTCGAGGTGTGCAACATGGGCGGCGGTCGGCAGCGCAGTGGGCAAGGCAGCGCAGGGCAAGGCGCGCAGCGAGGCGAGGCGGAGCGGGCGAGAGACTCGGGCTGTTTAGCGGCGGCAGACAGACAGCTGGAGTCGGTCAGGCTATAGTGGGTGGTGGTGCATATGGTTGTGAAGAATGGCTGACTACACCCTCACTGACACTTCGGATGGAGACAGGCATGGGGGCTCCACTTTGCTATGGATGGAGAGCGGCATGCTTTGCCAACAATGCGCCACCTGCACCCACTCCAACCTTGGAACCGACCAAGCACTACGGGGTCCTACCGAGCCTCCGTGCTAGCAATACTCCAGAACACTACCCAGAGCACTAACCCAGAACGACGACATCCCCAACCACGCAGACCCGTGGACATGTATGCTTTATACAGTGCAGAATATGAGACCTTCACCTCCTCTCCTCTCCTCCCCCACCTATTCCACTTTGCTATGGAGAGCGGCACACTCTGCCAACAATGCGCCACCCACAGCCCAGACCAACCGTCCCCAACCCACTCCTCACCCTTCCCTTCCGCTAACCCAGCTCCCACCCACGGAGCCTACCGAGCCACCAAGCACCCGTCCTAGACTTCCCAGCATACCAATCCTTCTCCGTATGCCCCCGGCCTAGACCCTCAAACCAACGACCCGGACGTCGCGCCGCATGCAGTCATATCGCGAACGACAGTGCCATACTTTTACATTTCATCTTACATCTCATCTTACGCGCGTTGTTTGCAGCATATGCCGATTCCAGTTCCGCTGAGGTAGGTTAGGTCATGGCCCCGGTGCACCGAGCACCGAGAGCTTGAACCCCCGCTTTTTGGTGCCAAAGCCACCACCACCACTATCCTGACAACGACGACTACGACGACGACTACTATCCCGTCATCATCATCATCGTCATCCCTTGCTCCCGTCCATCTCTGCCTAACCATCCACATCATTAACATCGCATCATCATAGTACCGACACCCGTGTTTCATCCCAGAACTAACTCCTCAATAGTTTGGTTCAGAAGCGAATCCGACATTTGTGGCGTACGACCGAGCCACTGCCTATGCTTTCGCCTGTTCAAATAGCTAGAGACATTCCTGTTTCATTATTCTCCGATGTTTGAGGGACTCTCGTTGGTTGTGCAGCCGGAGCTTATTTGCCGTATATCCCGAAGCAGGCAGACGTGCAGACCTCTTGTGCCACCACCGCGGATTTGAACATCGCGTTCATTCGCGTGTATGCGTGTATTTATACTTTTTTTGCCTACTGCGCTTTGCTGCGCGAGACGCTGATGTGATGTGTATATCGCCGTGGAGGACGTCAATGAATGAATTGGCCCCAGTTCATATTAATCGCGCACTCTCATTCCGTGAAGGAGTCAATAGCGCTTGCAGCACCAGACAACAGCATTTCTACGTTACGAGCACATACGCCCCTGGGACATTGATGACTGATCATGAAGGTGTGCACTGTAGTCACATGCTACCACTCGCACATGCTTCTTCCGGCAGCCAGGCAATCGGGTCACTCCCTCACGAAACTGGGCATTCATATACGCCCCCAAGCATTGATGAGTGATTATGAAGGTGTCCACGGGTACAGTACACTAGGTAATCACATGCTACCTCGCAGTACTTCTTCCGGCACCCGGCTCAGCTTATTCACAATAGACCACTCATAGCAACTTCATAGCATAAGAAGCAATCATTAACGCTCGTACGACGCCAAGTCTATCTCACATCCCTTTTTTGCGTGTATAGTGACGCAATCCTGTGACCTGTCTGCGTCCCGGGATTTGTTCCAGTACCAGAGTGTATGCTTCGTGGAGCTGCCTTCACGGATAGTACGTGATGACGGCTTCTACGTGCCATGCAACTCATACTAGAACAACATATATATAATCTTACAAAACACCTAATCCGAATCGAACACACACTTGCTGATGATTAAATATCCGCGTTAAGATCACTGAGGAGCACCACCGCCCTGGAGCGCACGCAGAATATCCTGGAGCGACTGCTGCGCTCCAGCTTGAGCGTTGCCCTGTTGAGGGGGGTTCGCGGGAGCAGCCGGCTGCGCATATTGCTGGTAGGGGTAGGAGTACTGTGCTTGCGGCTGAGGCTGTGGTGGTGGCGGTGCAGGTGCTTGCGCTGGCATCTGCGGTTGTTGTGGTTGTTGTCCACTCATGGTTTGCATGACCTGGAACCACTGTGCCCATGCCGCTAGATTGGCCGCTTGGTTCTGCTGGGGTGGCTGGGCTGGAGCTGGTGCTGGCGCTTGAGGTTGGGGGGTGTACGATGGCTGGTAGTTGTAGGCCGCTGGTGCTGCTGGCGGTGGAGGCGGAGGTGCGGCAGCATAGGGGACCGCTGGCTGTGAGGGACCGGAGAAAGGCACTGGCCAACCTGCGCTGCTGTTGTTTGCATAAGCGTTAGCATTTGATGGTCCAGAAGGTGCCGGAGAAGCATGTTGCTGTTGCTGCTGCTTTTGAGGTTGCTGAGACTGTTGTGACTGCTGCTGCTGCTGCTGTTGCTGGCGTTCCCGTTCCCTCTTTTCACGTTGCCGTTGTTTGCGGTTCTTGTTCTTCCCACCACCACCTGCTGGAGATTGCTGGGATTGGGCTTGCTGAGACTGGCCACGGTCCTGCTGGGTGTAAGACTGGCTGCGATCTTGCTGTTGGCGGGCTGGCGATGCCGAGGTTGCGGACCGTCCCTCTTGGTACTGATTCCTCTGGTTGTTCTGTTGACGATCTTGGAACTGCTCTGGTTGCCTGCCACGGTCAGATTGATTCTTGCCGCCACGTCCACCCTTATCTCCGCCTCGGTTGTTCTGGTTGTTGTTGTTGCCGCCTCCTCGGTCGCCTCGCTGTCCTCCACCACCACGACCCCCGAAGTCGCCTCGTCCGCCGCCAAAGCCTCCTCTGTCGCCGCGTCCACCACCAAAGTCACCGCGACCGCCACCACCTCCTCGGCCACGGAAGCCGCGACCCCGATCGCCCCAGGGGCCTCTACCGCGACCCATACCTCTGCGAACATGGCTGCGATCTTCTAATGGTGCACCTTGCCCAACAATCTGCTCGAAATGGTCTGGTCTGGCAAGCGGCTTGTACATGCCGAGATCTTCGTCTTCATCGTCGCTGTATTTCAGACCACCACCCTGGTATTCCATGGGCCGGTAGATGGGCGGTGCGGGAGCGTCGACGTGTAGTCTGGGCCCGGTCGGGATGTTGACGGGCGCGACTGGCTCGTCGTTGCCTTCTTGCCTGGCTCGCTTCTTAGCTTTCTGTTCGCGCTTGTATTCGGCCTCCTTCTCGTCATCGGAGAATTCGACATCATTCGTCTCTTCGTCGTGGAGGTTCGATGCGTCGGTATGCTTCTGTCGGCGAATGGGTTCTGTCTCGGTGAAGGTCGAGTGCTCGTCCACGTAGTAGATGGGTGTGTCCTTCTTGATACCTAGAGTCTCGAGTTCAGCGGCATCGTTAAAGCCAAAGGAGTAGCGCGGCTCCTCCACGCGACCAATCTGCTCTGAGACCTTGCCAACAACCGTGCGGTTTTCGAGGCACAGCGCCGAGCCAGACTCCAGCACCTGCTCATCGCCAGACATCTTGGCCTTGATAACGACGAGGTTCCCGACAATGGACTCGACCTTGCCGAGCTCTGTGATCTTGGTCTCCGGCGTGACTGTGATGTCGGGCATTTCGAACTTCTCGTCTTGCTCGTTGAGCGTCTTGACTTTCACTGGGCCGGACGCGCCTGGCTCGTCGGCGGCCTCTGCCATCAGGAGACGGACCTGCTCCTCGGGGTCGAGCAGCTCGCCCTCGTCTGAGCCCTCATCGGAGCTGTCGTCCGAGCTGGAGGAGTCGGACGATGAGTCTGAGTCGGATGCATCTGAGTCCAGCTGCCACTCGGCGCTCTGGTCATTTCTGTTGGCTTCGGCCGCGCGCAGGAACTCGGCCTTGCTATCGAACACCGCGCCGTCGGGGGCAGGAGCATCTGTGGTGTCTTCAATCTCGTTCTGGAGGTCTATGGCGGCGGTCAGGGCCGCGTCGAGCTCGCCGTCTGTGTCGGCCGCTGGAGTATCGGCAGCAGCGACGGCCTGGAGCTGTGGAGCCTCATCCTGCGCCTGGCCGTGATTGGCTACGGGCGGCTCGACTGGGATGGCGGCCTGCGGGCTCGCATCATTGTAGAAGGCCTCGTCATCCGAGAGCTCGCCGTCTTCCGGGGCGTCGTCTGGGACGACTGCGCCGTTTTGTGGTTGCGGCTGCGACTGCGCGGCCGGGGTCTCGCTCACAGAGCCGAGTCCAGGAAGGTGAAAGGCCGGCGCGGGTGCCGCCGTCGCCAACAACGACGTCGCTCCGTCCGCCTGTGAGGGCAGCGCAGAGGGCTTGACGGGCGTAGTGTCGTAGAAGTCGTCGTCCATGTCATCGACAGGCGAGCCCGGCGCGTCGAGCGCAGATGCAGATGTAGATGTGCCATAAAAGGGAGCGTCCGCCTCCAACCGCGCCCTTTTGGCCGGTGGTTCCAGAGAGTCGGACATTGCTCGTGTCTCTCTCTGCAGTCTTCTCTGAAGCACGCGTGATGGCTGAGTTATCCACTGCGTTGTCTGCACCAGTTTGCTTAAATGCGTGCGATGATAGTTCTGGTTGAAAGGAGCGCTTCAGGGAAGAACGTCGCCTTTTTGGATGCGCGCTAACAAGCTTGGCGGGCACGCGCAGCTCAGCCCTATGACCGCGAGACCCACCGCGTCATTCTGTGAAAGTGACGATACTCTGTGATGGAGGTTGCCGTCACGTTCTGGAATCATTGTCGCTGACATGTCTGCATCGCGCTCAAAGACGGCGCATTCG